GTTTGTTCTTTCTATCAAATCTTACAGATATTTGTGTATCACTTTTGTTTGTTCTTTCTATCAAATCTTACAGATATTTGTGTATCACTTTTGTTTGTTCTTTCTATCAAATCTTGTTTATGGAGGACATTTGTTTGTTCTTTCTATGAATAATAAGTCACATTTCTCTCATTATTATTCCGTATTGTTTTGTTTCTTTCTTTTTGGGGAGAAATTTTTATATTAAGACTTTCTATTCCTTCTCTGTAACAGTTTGTTGTAAGTATTCCTTGTGAAGTGATTAACTTTATTACGTGTTTATACACAAGGCATAAGTAAACTTGTTTAAAAGTAACCATCGCTATGATGGACTACTTGTTTCGTACTGAATGATTAATATCATTTATATTCCCAACAACTTTAACCAACTTTTAAATACAGATAAAAACTGTGTTTTTAAAAATGTTCTAAAACTTATTGCTAACTTTAAAAATCTGACCTATTCTTCACACTCTCATCACTAAAATCTCTTGTCTTTATAATGTACTTATTTCTTTTGTTTAATCATATCCAAGTTTGTTAAACTTTAATTCTTACCGTGCCTTCAAAGAAAATGAGGCCTGTGCTTTCGAACTCCAGTTTCAAGTGGCGCAAAGAGACGACAATGTTGACACCTACCCCATCTAACGGCTGGTACCAATAACACGGATGGGTAGATTAGAAAAGTTGTTTAAAGTGTCTTGTTAATGGACACAACAGCATAATGAGGAATACTTTGAAACATGATTTATAATTATCATTTAATGTTATACTAAATGCCGGGATACAAACCTGTCTATCAACTCAACCTGCTTCAGGTGAGTAGTTCAGCAAGCAGTACAAGTTTAACATGATGACTCAACTTGGTGAAAAGTAATCCAGTGGGATGTTGTACGCATGTCTCATATAACACCAGAAATGATAATTTTCTGTGTATGATTTGGGCAAATTTTGCTCTGGGTGAAAATTGTGAAACAAGCAAGCAAAATAATTAAAAGGTTTTAATAATTTTATCTTAGAACATTGAAATTTTGGTTATTTTTGTCACAACATTTTACTGTGTTTCTTTTTACCAGAAAAAGTACAAATATTTGTTGGTTGTCTTTTCTAAAGGTAAACGTTCTTGTCCCGGTGAGAAGTTGGCCCTAGTTGAAATGTTTCTATATTTCGTATCCTTATTACAACGCTTTACCGTAGCTCTACCTGCCGGTGAGAAACCAAACTTCGATGGGACTTTCGAATTAACTTGGGACGCCAAGTTTCATGATATTATCTTTTTATCTCGTTAAGTTGCAAAAGTTACAACCTTCTCCAGACGAATTACTGTAAATACAATTAAACAAAGGAAACGAAATTCTAAGTGGAAATTTTACACTTAGTCATAAAAGTTAAATATTTTTATAATCTTACAAATGGAGTAATAAAACTGATAACATGAATTATTACCTGTCTCAATTTCTATTGGAAATATAATGTAAACTAAACAATCCACAGAGGTACTGCATAAATATACTACAAACTGAACAA